GTGAAGGCTTTAGAGCTTTGGGCTTTAAGCCCAGTCGGTTAAAGGGAAGAAATATGGGGGGCCGGTTTTAGTTATTAATTAAAGGGCCCATTAGTTGTTTCTTGTTTAGCAAGTTGTTAACCCTAATTTATATCTTATAAATACCCAATCATGTAACTATAATCTGTGAGCACCTAATAAAAGATAAACCCTAGTTGCAACCCGTGGAGTAGGTTACTTACCGAACCACGTTAAATCTCGTGTTCTTATTTTCTGCTATTTGTGTGTGTGTGTGTGTGTTTGTTCGCTTCCGCTTGATCGCCTCTGATCTCTGATTCCTAACAATATCTTCTCCATATTCTACCCTAGAACCCAAACCTTTGTTCCAGCAGAGGATGATCCCGCTTTCAGCAATATCAGAGCAGTTCATCATCTAGGAAGAGTTCTTATTTCTCAAGCTCCACTCATAAATGAGTTTGTCAATATCTGTTTGGAGATTGAGAGTATTAAAGTGACCCCCCTCAAACTTGAGTCTGTTGAAACTCTTCCATATAGCCCAGGTAATAAAGAATGGGATGCAAGCCCTTAGAATAGCTTTAACATTTTTGTTGGAAGAGGAAATCCACCATTCGACAAGATGCCGGCATAGGGTAAGGCCCCCTCTAAGCCCTGGACCATCAGTAATATTAGCATAATGACCCCATATAGGAGATATGTAAGGGCATTAAAGCATAGTGTGATCCAAGGATTCTTCAGCCCCATTACAAAAATTGCATTTACTAGGATAATTGAACCCAATTTCCTGAGATTTTCTGGAAATTCAATTGCATTTTGCACCAGCTTCCACATCAGGAGTTGCATTTTACCATGAACAGTAGAGTTCCAAACATATTTATCTGTGAAGAGCCTGTTTTCAATTTCTCTAATTCCATCATAGGCTTTACTCATTTTAAATTCACCATCATTGTTGCAAAATGAATCTTCTTCCAAGGTACTAGCTTTTTCATCAATCCTGCAGATTCTCTTCCATATACTAGAATCATAAGCTCGTTCTCTAAGAGCAAGATCATCTCTCCCATATTTACTCCTCATGTACTTAGACCAGAGACTATCAGAATGCTTGAATTTCCACCAGAGCTTCAAGGAGCAGGCATCTTGTACATAGTTTAGGTTTCTAATCCCTAAACCCCCTTCTTCCTTAGGAATGCTGATAGAGCTCCAACTTTTCCAGTGATGCTTGGGTTTTCCCTCTTTGTAACCCCAAATAAAGTTACTCATTTTAGAGTGGAGCTGATTGATGATGGACTTAGGTCGAGTAGAAATTGCAAAAATGTGAAGGGGAATTGAAGATAGCACATGCTTAGAGAGAAATGAGAATTAACCTACCTACTGGGTTAAGGGCTTTGCCATGCCAAGCGAGAGTGTACTTGTCAAAATGGTTGAGGATGGACTCACAGTCTGCCTTCTGAGGTTTTCCTTTGGTAATATTAACACCTAAGTAAATGAATGGGAGATCCCCATGTTGCATATCAAGAGCCCTAGCCATTCTGTGTATTTGGTCCCTGTGGCATTTTGAGCTAGTGAAGAATTTACTCCTTCTGAGGTTGACCTCCTGACCAGAGGCTGTAAGGTATTTCCATAAGATAGCTTTGAACTTCAGGAGGATTCTGGTATCCCCATTAATAAACACAACTAGATCATCTGCATAACCAAGGTGAGAGGGTGCCGAAACAGAACCTGCATTATAGGGCTTAATGAAACTGGAATAGATAGCATGATTGATGGCTCTAGTAAATCCCTCACTACCAATAATGAACAACAAGAGGGACAAGGGGTCCCCTTGTTTAACACCTCTTTCCATCTTGAAGAAACCTTCAGATTGACCATTTACCAGAATGGAAAGGTAGGTGCTTTCTAAATTGGCAAGCAACAATCTTCTAGCATGGTTGTTGAACCCCATTTCGCCAAGAACAGCCTTTAAATATGTCCAAGAAAGCTTATCAAAAGCCTTAGTCATGTCAAGCTTAATGATCGCATTCCCGCCCTGCCACCTTCTTGTCCAGTAGGTGGGTCAACTCCTGAGTAAGAAGGACTTGGTCATCAATAGTCTTCCCTTTAATTAGACCAACTTGTTCCGGGGAAATGATGTTATTGATGAAAGTTCCTAGCCTTGTGGCCAAGATTCTGGTATTAATTTTGCTCATAAAGCTAGATAGAGATATGGGTCTGATGATGCAGAACTCACCGAACATGAATGCAAAGCTCACTAGACCCCAATGCAAAGCTCCCCTCGGACAAATGAAAAGCTCATCAATCTGGACACAAATACTCATCATTTTTTTAAAAATGGAAAAAGTTGGACCACTAGTCAACCACCTGCCTACGGCGGCAGCAACTGGCGGGGCGTCGGTCAGGCGGTCAAAGTCCAGTTGTTGGAGGTCAACATGAGTCAAAGTCAAATCAGCACCTCCTTTGATTTTTTTTTTTAAAATTCAAAGTGTGAAAAAATCAAGGTGAGCTTTGCCATACATTTTGGTGAGCTTTGCACTTGGTGTGGGTGTGCTTTACAGTTGGCTGTGGTGAGCTTTGCATCATGTGAGTGTAGCATGTCATTTCACTTAAACTTGTCATCTAAGTCTAACTGGAGTCAACTCCTATATATATATATATATATATATATATATATATATATATATATATATTATTGTTTGAATCTCTTAAAGTTCTATATTAGTTCTTTTAGACTTTATATCTTTTAAAGTTCGATAAAATCAACTTCCATTAAAATTATTGGTTTCCATTGTGTGTGTGTGTATATATATACATACATATACATACATACATACATACATACATACATATATATACCAGTTATTTATACACCAGTTCGTTTGGGGTACCTACGGTGCCCCGTTTGTAAAAATGACGGTTCCTACCCCCTTAACCCTCCCATTAAACCACCCACCCCACCCCCACCCTTGCCCCCCCACCCCACCCCCCCTCCCGCCCCTTTCCCTACGTAGGGAGGGGGCGGGAGGGGGGGCTGAGGTGGGGGGTTTAGGGGGAGGGTTAGGGGGGGTAGGAACCATCATTTTTACAAACAGAGTACCGTAGGTACCCCAAACGAACTGGTATAAGCAAATGACATCAGTAGCACTGGTGTCATTTTAGACTTATTATATATATATATATATATATATATATATATATGTTTGTGCCCACCATTTGTGCACATCATGTTTCACATGTCCCATGTGTCACTACACAGACACACGCTATGTGTCACACTCTTTTCTACATTGAATGATCATTATATTTTCTATATTATACTAAGTATAAAAACCCTACCCTTTTTAACTATTTTACCAATTTGTAATTCACCTTTGTATAATATTCTTTTAAGATGCATAGTTGTTTTATTATTTTAAAAAGAGTCATATAAACTTTAGGGGCTGTTTGGTAACTTCTGAATGGGTAAGTGCTGAACCAGTAAGAGGTCTGAACCATTAAGAGCTAGTATATTGTTTAACTATTCAGAGGTAAATGTCTGATCAATTCAGATAAGAGCTCTTAACCATTCAGACTCTGTATAATAGTTAACCATTCAGAGGCAAATCTCTTAACCATTCAGACATCTGAACCATTAAGAGGCTGAAACAAACAGTCTGAACCATTAAGTGCTGAATCATTCAGACATCTGAACCATTAAGAGGCTGAAACAAACAGCCCCTTAGTATTTTTACAAAACGCTTTCAATGTAGCAATATGATTGTGTTGTTAATACACTTTAGTGCCCTCCCAATAATATTATCATTGTTTTAATGGAATTTTATAACTCCATATTGATCACTTAAACCATAAAAATAAATTATAAGTAATTGTCTATTTTGGATTATTAAGATTTTATTTGATCAGTTTCATTTATTTATAGCATAAATTTTTTTTAGAATACTTATAATTGTTTGAATCTCTTAAAGTTCTATATTAGTTCTTTTAGACTTTATATCTTTTACATAAATGATTTGATAAAATCAACATCCATTAAAATTATTGGTTTCCATTGTATTTAAGTTTAACATTTTTATTTATTATATGCAAATATATGTTTTTTTAAAGCTTTGAATTATTTTGTGTATATTTAATCTTAATGATTTAAGATACTAGTTTATTTATAAGCAAACAATTAATTATTTGTAACAATTTTTAATAGAGTTCTTTTTTGTTCTCTGAAAAAAAAATTTAATGTTGTCAATTTTAGGAAGTACTTTGTACTATTCTAATAATAACAACAATTATAATAATGATGATAATAATGGTGACGATTATTACTATCAAAGTATTCTTAAGTTTTTATAAACATATTAAGAGCGATGGTTTTGAATTTGGGTTGATTGATCTGATCGATTAGACTTGAATTATTATGCATCCTAGCTTGGTTTTTGCACTATAATAAAAATAGCTAGTAATAAAAAATATTTAATATAAATAGATTGAAAGAAATAGAATAAAAAATAAAGTCATACTTTAAATTTAAATATATTAATGTTTGTTTAGTATTTTTTTCATACTTTTGCTATGTACTTCGAGAGAATGGAATTACAAAACAAGGATATATTTTATTTATAAATGAATTTTGAAATGTCTTTTAAATAAATAAAATTAAACTTTAAAACTGAAATATAATTTTATAAGAATCTTAAAAATATTAGACTTTATATGAGCCCATAAAATCCCACAGTTGGGGTCCAGGAGGGGTGGGTGTAGACAGGCCTTACCCCTAAGGAAAGGTTTAGAGGCTATTGCTTACACTATTATGTATGAGTAAATTATCAAACCTTTGTTTTAATTCTAAATTTTAAAAGCATAGATCAATAGTTACAGGAGAAGCTAAGATAGTGGTCTTATTGTTGCATCACTGTAAATATTACGGCAGGAAATCAATTTCCCTTTTGGCTTTTTTGGACTTTGAATTTCAGTTTTAGGGCTCTTATAAACTTATGCTTTAAAAGTACTTGAGATATGTCTGGTACCGAAAAAATGAGATTTAACACAACATTTAAACATGCTTTATCACTCTATATGTACAAAATATGGCAGTGGCTTTCCTTTTGCATGTTTAAAAGTTGGGATTTGCTTTTGCTTGTTTTTGTGTTATTATGAATATATTTAGCTGATAGGGAGCAGCTGACCTATGAGTGTCATCCTCATGCAGAAATGAATGATCCCAAGAACTCGAGGGTTATCATTTTCTCAAATTTTAGAGGAAGTGTTAGGTAAACTAGTTCTGTTCCTTGCTGTTTAATTTTTTATATGCTGTTCCTAGAGCAAAAAACATTCAACTCTCTTTTCCTTAATGGTCTTATCTTGCTTCAGGGACATAATGAGTGCATTAGAAAACATCGGACCATCTGTTAAAGCCACAGAGTTTATAGGACAAAGCTCAGGTGTTTGAATTTTACAGATTATGATTCTACCTTACCATTTGGCATACTTAATATTTAAGCAAACATTTACTCAGTAGTTTGTTTTGATGATATGTGTATGCCCTAAATACAATAGATTTAAAGAAAACTTTAGTTTGTTTTGATGAAGTAGAAAATATTGTAGGCAGGGACTAAAACATGCTTCATTGGTTGAGCATAGAATTCGTGCTGGGGTTGTGGTTTTGAAGTGATTAGTTGGTGGTAATCAGAAAAAAGTACATTTTTTCTTTTTAATAATTGATTTAGTAGTCATTTACTGCAAAGCTGAGAACATTTAAGTATAATGGATGGGTTCTCATTATTATAAACCTAGGGTTTGCCTAGTAAATTTATTTAACTATTCTTCTCAATTGTTTTATAGGAAAAACATTAAAGGGCCAGTCACAAAAGGTTCAACAGGCTGTTCTAGAGGTAACTAAAATTGTTTTCTTTGGCTTTATCTTTTTACATCTTACTGTGTTATTTTCAGGGAGTATCTTACAGTTTTCTTTTGACTTTGGAAACAGAAATTTCGAGCTGGTGGGTACAATGTCATTGTTGCAACCTCGATTGGAGAAGAAGGCCTAGATATAATGGAAGTTGATTTAGTTATTTGTTTTGATTCTAATCTCTCCCCATTGAGAATGACTCAGCGCATGGGGAGGACAGGAAGGAAACACGAAGGGCGAGTTGATATCCTTTGGCCATCTAGCTTGCTTATTACAAATTTTCTGCTGTATGTGGCCTAAATTTCTGTTAAGCATATAACCATGGTTAGGCTAAGCATTAAGCTTGGTAGCAATTAAGCTGAAATTTATTATTCAAAGATTAGGAGGTCATGCCTTATCTATAGGCTCAAGCTATTGTGTGATATTCCATATTTCTAAATCCTAACCTGGACTAAGACATGCAATCACAAACAAATTAAGATATGTACTAAACTAACTAGGACAATCATAAATTAAATAGGATTTACTTTGGTTAATCCAGTGCTTTGAAACTACGCCTTTGGTAAACTCATAACCCATCTTCCTTGAGGCACATAATTCGGACAGCTCTTTTTTCAATACACTAACTGGTTCTTGGGTCACATCTTCCTGAGGCAAAGAGACCCACTGAACTAGTGCAACCCATAGTTATGAAAGGCGAGAGGTGGGCGAAGAGTAGATTTTCAAGGCGAAAGGCAGCATGAGAGGCGGGCGAGGGATAGATTTTCAAGGCAAAACACAGTGCAAGAGCCAGGGGAAGGTTCTAATGACAATTCACAGGTGGGGCATTGTGATTGTGTGACGGCAGTCGGCAGGAATGCCTGAAGTGGTGGGAGAGTGATAGTTGCCACAGGGAGGGAGCAGGGCAGTTGAAAGAGGTATTCGGAACAGAGATGGGGATGGTCAAGTCTATGGCTTTCTCCAATTTTTTGGCTTCACTAATCTGACATCACTGCAATATCTTCTTTCTCTTTTTCAGCCTGGCAAAAACGTTCTGTGTACTTTTCTGCCAAGTTGGTAGTTCATTCACCAACTTTTGAAATTTTTGTATATATTCCCTCTAGGCTCTAGCTGCCTAATGTTTTTTGATTCACCTCCTCATAAGCCCGTCCCCTAAAACGTATTTCTTCCATGCGATCTGCTTTTTTTCCTTTTGAGATGAGACATGAGAGTACCATCTCCACCATTTGTTCGCTTCTCCGAAAGTAGCCAAACTCGCAAACCTATTTTCTTTTTGGACCCATAACTACCCATGACCTTGAAGTAATAAGGGGCTTGTGGGTCTTCTAGTGAAATTTTTGGGAAAGCAAGATAGATTGGCTCGGGTTGTCCCAACTCTTATTATCAATTTTCTTGTTCCCTTATTCTCGGTTTTGGACTTTGAATGTGGTGGAGTTCACTTCTTCCTCCGAATCTTGTTGTGACGAAATATCCCTTGATCAATCATCTCCTTGTGATTTTCAGGAGTTGAAGATTAGGAAATAAATGTATGTTTTGGCAATTTGTTCCAACTTCTCAAAGATGGTATCATTAGAAAATCGTAGACACCAACACGTTGCTCCAAATATTGAATTTTGTATTGGTTCTATTTTCCTTGGGCACCGGAATTTAACATTTTGGAGTATCATTAGAATGGGTAAAGTCATTCTTGCCCTAATACAAATTGTTAAGAGAATAACATTTGATAGGTTAAGCAATTAAGCTAGAATTGAGTTGAAAAGGAAAGGTGGAAAGACTCAGTGACGGAGAGTACTAAACTTACTACAACTTGGACAAACAATCGTAAACTAAATGGGGTTTGCCTTAGTTAATGCAGAGGTTTCGGCCCTATATGTTTGGTAAACAAAAATAACCAATAACCAATTAGTTTCCTTTACTGTTCCCACTAGTTTTAGCTTGTGAAGGGCAAGAACTCAAAGGGTTTTTGCGAAAGCAAGCAACAAACAAGACACTGGGGAAACTTATGGCGAGTGGTGGAACAAAAGCCTTTAGGTTTCATCCCAGCCCTAGGATGGTATACCTCTAACCATTGAGTTTATTGATTAGTTTCATGACAAGTTTTACCTTTATAATTTCTTTGTTGGGTATGTAAATTATGTTAACCTTTTGCAGATTCCACATGCTATCAGACCAGAAGTTCAACATGTTAAGCTTTTGATTGAAACATTTGTTCACCGTGGGAAAAAACCAAATGATGTTCACCCTCTCCAAATTCCTGTACTGGCAAATAAACTCAGTGACACTGAAATCAAATTGCTCGCAAAATATTTCAACAACTCTGGAGAGAGCTTGTGGAGGCCATCGTTAATTGCATTCCGTCATCTCCAGGCATTTCCATCTAGGGTGCATCGTGTACCACATTCATTTCGAACAGAGATGCTAATAGATGCAATGCAACATTTGGAAGGGTTATCATGTTCTAGTAATTTTGAAGCTTTAAGTGAGGTTTGTTCTCAACCCTGGGAAAATTTCATTATCTGTAGAATAGTTTCAGTATTTGACTTCTTTGATGCCACAGGTTGGAACTTCTAGAGCTCTGTACATGGGAGGCAAAGCTGCAGAACCATGTGAAAATGGCAAAGCTGAGGACCAGCCTGACCCATATGAAAATTGCAACGGTAAAACCGGTATCAAACTTTGACAGCTTTTCATCTCTGTAGTTTTCACAGCATGGTATTAAGATGACAATGTATAACCAATTGTTTATGTGTGATCCTGAGACGGATGATGGTTTAAAGGCACATGCCCAGGCACGCAAGCACTGAAGCACATGCACATCACTGGGCATGAGGCGCGTAACAAAAAGCGCATCACTGGTCTTTAAGCGTGAGAGTAGACACGAACCTCAATTGTGCCTCACGCCTCGAGCAAGTAAACCCACGTAGTGCCTTAGTGCACGTAACACTTTAAGGGATTGAAAAGATCCCCGAGATTTATGAAGAACCTTCCCTTGCTGGCTAGAAGAGGAAGAATTTCGGATCCTATGGGTCCGTGAATAATTAGGAAAAATTGTTCAATTGTTTCAAAGATGATGATTTTTTCAGTTAATGCACGAGTATCAATGGGAAAAAGCTGTACAAGAGACCTACCATAATCATGCTAGGTAACATGAATCCTTATTAGGAATAGAACAACAAACCCAATAGAATCCTATGAAACAACAAACCCAATAGAATCCCTTGGTGTTGTCAATTTATAATTTCGCAAGTTTTGTGAAAAAACACTACTGAAAATAAAAAAATAAAACTTTTAGAATAATAATAAGCTCAAAGTTATACTCGAAAAAAGAAAAAAAACATAATAGCTCCGTGTTTACATGTAAAACAAGTACAGTTCTTAGATGTATCATGATCTGCATGTGCAAGTTTCATCTCTTTAAATCACAAATTTCCAAAAACATTACAAAGTAAAAAATTTCTAAGCATATAGTCAAAGGTGTAATATTACTTTCGCCATTATAGAGAAAAAATGGAAAATACACATGAAACAATACAGCGACGAATCGGAAAGACCGGGTGGAAACAATAAAATAGAATAGGCCGCGATCAAAACGTCATGACTTGCGATCGCCTTGCGCCATAGCTTTCATCGGAAATGGCGACCGCCATGGCGCGCCTCAAGCACATCGCCTCGCTTGACCTAATTCAGGCGCTGGAGGGTCGCCACAGCGCCATAACCGCCATAGGCGACCATGGCGCTCGCCTTTCATAACTATGAATACAACAACAAATGTGGTTAACAAAGAAGTCCTTCAAATTCTTTAATCTCTTTAGCATTATAATCTATCATTATTATCTTCAAAGATTGCATGTAATCTGTTAAATAATTACATTTGAATGTGTACTTTTATCTGCTATGAGTCATTTTAAAAATCTATATCAAATATCCTAGATGCATACAATTAACCAAATTTAGGACAAGGATACACATCCCATGATATATATCTAGGTTCTCAGAATCCTTCACCATATGTGTGTGAATGTGTGATTCTACCCCTTGGTGTATTCCTTGACACCGTGCCATTCTATGGCATGCAAACAAACTCCTTGGCATTGCTGGTGACCTTCGCCATCAGCAACATGTAGATTGTCTCCAAACCTGCAATTCTGTCGATGATGCCGGTGAGCTTGGTGGTTGTGGCTGCCATGAATTCCCTCAATTGGGTAACCAATTGCTAGGGATGTGAAGGGATCCTTGAGATGGATAAAGAACCCCTCCCTTGCCCGCGGCTAGACGAGGAAAAATTCAGATCCTGTAGTCCATGACTAATTAGGAATACTTGTTTAATTGTTTCAACGATGATAGTTTTATCAATGGTTGCAGATATAAATTGGCAAAGCTTTACAAGAGACCTACCACAACCCATTGTTATTAAGGGCATGTTTGGTTGGAAGGGAGGGAAAGGGAGGGGAGGTTTCCCTTCACTTTGTTTGGTCGGAAAAAGGGAAGGAAAGATCTTTTATCTGCTCATTTTTTCTTCATTCTATCGCATCTCCATTTTCATCTTCTCAAACCGTTCTATTCTCCATTTTCATCTTCTCAAAACTCCCCTTTTGTAGTCCGTAGTTGAAGCATTGAAAAAGAACTACCGGCTCATTGGATCTGGAAGACTGAATCAGTTTTAATTAATAATTGAAATTTTTTTGTTGCAATGGAGTTGTATAATGATGGGAACCCGATAATGCCAATCCATTCAATTTGGAAAAGAAGAGAGGATAAGACAAAAAAAGAGGAAGAAAAATTGCAGAGCCAGAGGAGTCGGAAGAAGAGGAAGGGAGTGAGATATGAAGGAGAGGAGAAATAGTGAGAGAGGTATAAAAAGAAGAGGAAGAAAAAAAAAACTAGGATAGACGAAGAAGACTGAATACAGCCATGGAGAGCCAGTCTGTCCGATTTGGGAGATATGATTTGGAGGGGAGGGCTTTGGAGTTAAAAATTTATGTTTCCTCCATTCCTATTTTTTTAACCAAACGAGGGGAGGGGTTCACCTTCCCTCCCATTCTCTCTCCTCCCAGCTAGAATTCATTTAACTTGAAGAAAATCTCACCCTTCCCATCAGATTTAAAATTTCACAGCCGTACAATGTGCCCCTCCCAATCACATCATTGATGCCATCCTTGCTTGGCCGTCGGTCTTCAATCAGTGTTGGTTTCGTCACCCTCTCCTTCGTCTGGATAGTTTTCTTGTGTTTAAGTTTCTATTTTTTGTTATTTGTTTTGTTTTTCTTTTATATTTTTTTTCTGTCGTGTTCATGCCCGTGAGTTATTTTATTGATTTTTAACCTTTGGTGCTTTTAATTTTTCCCCTTTTTGGATTGTTCAATAAGTTTTAACACCAATTTTTGTCTTTCACCTTTGATTTTTTGGGCAGTCTACACTCTACAGTTTAGTTCATTAAAAAAATAATGTGATATACTACCGCCGTCCCTGAGTATTTGTCCAGTTTTGACTTTTTTCAGTCAACCGTTTTTAACCTTTGACCTATAATTAAATGAAATATTTATTGTTTTTTAATTAGATAAAATAATATTTTGAAAATATTTCATATAATAAATCTAATGAACCTTTTTTTGTATCAATATCTAATATCATTTTAATTCAATTTGAGGTCAAAGTGTACCAATTTTGACTGAAAAAAGTCAAAAGTGGACAAATACTCTAGGACGGAGAGAGTATTAATTGAGTTGTCCATCATTTTTTAACTCATTTTAGATTAAGGCTCTGTTTCGTAGGCCTGATCTGATTGAATCTGATCTCAATATTTGATGTTTAGATTTGATTAGATCTGATTGGATATGATCTGATTTGATTAGATTTGATCTGGTGTAATTGAATTTAAATTTAATTTAAATTAAACATAATATTGAATATAATAATAAGAATAATAATAACACTTCATCTGTCCTTTAATAATATCTAATAATAATAGACATATTTAAACATAGAATATTAATCAATATTTAGGTGTGTAGCTTTAAATAATGTAATGTGATTTAATCGAATAGTAATTATTATTTAATCCTTGAAAAAATATTAATATTTTTTTAATTATTCTTTTCTTGACTGATCTGATTGGATCTGATCTGATTTGATTTTTATTAAGTAATAAACAGAAAAAATAAGTCCTGTGGGATGGACCCTAAGTGGGGGATAACAATACCAACAAGAACTGCAATCATACAATTTGTTGTTCGTGTGATTGTGCTCTTTGTTGGTTTCTTGTTCTTTAATGTTGAAGGATATTGGTTTGCTATGCATCCTTCTCTGTATTGTTGTTTGATTATTATGTTCTACCTTGAATCTTTGTCTGTTTAAGATAATGATATTTCGTCTTTTAAAAATGTGGTTATCTTTTATTTGTTTGGTTTTGACTTTTTTGCAATACATTTATATTAATTAGATAACAAAATATTTTTGAAAATATTTTACAAGATAAATCTAATGAAGTTACTTTTGTATCAATATCCAATAAAAATTTGATTTAATTAATGGTCAAATTTTATCAATTTTGAATGCAAAAAAACAAAACTAGATGAAAACTTTGCGACGGAGGTAGTATACTAGATTACTAGTATGTCCGTCTGTGTCTGTATGTCTCTCTCTCTCTCTCTCTCTCTCTCTATATATATATATATATATATATATATATATATCATAACTTGTTTTTTAAAGAATGTATACTTTTTCTTCTTTTTTTTTGTAATTTATGTTTAATAACTTTTATATGACATACTGAGTTGGGGGTATCTTTTGGAAACAACCTCTACTTACAAGTAGGGGTAAGACCTGCAAACACCCCCAGACCCTATTTCTTGGGATTTGGGATTCTGCTGGGTTGTTGTTGATCGTATATAACATATGTGTATGTGATGAATGCATCAAATCATGTGTCATGTATTCCATTCTTGTGAGATGTGCACATCACAAAGGAAAACACAGGAGAGCATTAACTGTTTCAACTTTCAAGTCGTTGAAGGATTTAATCTTCTACGTAGTACATGGTATTTTGTTGCAAATTGTGTGTACATCTAGTGGTATATCCATAGATGATTGCTCATTGTTTTTCTAAATATTTTCTTTTGTATTTTCGTGTTATATTTTTTTATTCTTATCATATTCATTCTTAAAAATGTTCATTTGAATAGCACACATGCTTGTTCTTCTTTTAAGAACGTTTGTTTACATACTTACATTGTTGGATGTAGGATTATCATGATACATCCAAATGCATTATATATCTGCTACTATTTTGTGGTTTCAGATCTGGACATACTTGGTTGTTCACCTGAAGAAGAGTGTGAGATATTAGAAGATGATAAATATTCAGTTCCAGTCAAAACAATGGTTGTTGAAGGGATGAATTCTGTGAATGAATTGACAGGGGAGAATTCCCATGCCCACCTCTGTCTATTTGACTCGGAGCTTGTAAAGGTTGATAATCTAGGAAATGTTTTAGTCTCTTCGCCACAACTTTCTATCAAAGCAGCAGCTTCTGAGTCTAAATGTGTGGGTCCTGACGTGATGGAAGTGAAACTTCCAACAGAAGATGTTTGTCACTGGATGGATTCCAATGATCTTATCCATGAAAACACTAAGGAGTTGAAAGGAGAATTTGCTGATCATGGAGAGAGAATGGACGAGGACATTCTGGTATCCAGGTTATGCGATGTGGATGAATGTCAACTACGTTTCCAGTCAGAACGAGTTCTTCAAACTCCTGTTTTCCAGGTAATGTCAAAAGATAATAGAGCAGTGAAGCATCCTGAAGCAATAATAACAGTTAAAACAGACAATTTATTGAGTGAAGAATTGAGCAATGACTCCAAAGATGTGGAGGCACATAGTCCACGGCTAACTTACTTTATTACGAGTGGTGTTGTTCCAGAGTCTCCCATAAATAGTCCAGGTTAGGTCTACTCGTGTTACTTACTTTATAATATTGCCCAATGCTATCCCTCTTCTGAAACTAGTCTATGATTTGTTTAGCAGAGATAGAGAAGAATGTTCAAAAACTGAATTCGGAAGGCTTAGTGGCATCCTTGCTACAGGATAAGAAGGTCAACCATTGTGGTACTAGTGGGGAAGATGGTCTTCCTTCACACGTTACAAGTTCAACTCCTTTACAAAAAGGAGAGGGATCAAGAACTTCCATGTCTTCCCATTCAAATAGTAATTGTATTAAACGAACTCCTTATGCAAAACTGTCGAGCCCAAGCTGCAGCAAAGACTGGCTTCTAGAATCTCAACACATGTCAGAAAGAGCTGGTGTAAGGAACAAGTTTAGAAGGTTGCGCAAGCTAGGTGATGGTTGTAAAGAAATATCTCAAGAATACACAGAAAAAAATAACGTTTCTCCCCAAAAAGTGGTAGGCTCTTGTTTTACGTCCAACAGGGCTGTGAGTCGTGTAACCAGGAGGAAGCACAGAGGTTAGAGTAATTTCAGCTGCCTTTCAACTCCAATGATGTTTATCTGATTTCTTCATATACTACCCCCCTTTTTACATTTTCATTGCTTGTTGTCTTAGGGATGAATAAATTATATTAGTTCTGTTAATATGAATTGCAGTTAGTTTTCGTGATCAGTTTTTTTATGCTATCTTCCTATCTATATTGTTTTGTTTTCAGGTGAGATGAGGCAAGTAAAAGATGCTAGGGCATTCCTTGAAGTGGAAGCTGAGTAAGTACATGATTGTTTTGTTGACACATTGTGATTACTAGCTAAATGCTTCTATTTCTCCATTTCAGTTTATAAGATGTTTTAATTGTTGTTCTTACTCAGGGTTTCTTCAGAAGGCTTGGCATCTGATGATGAAGAAGAAGAAGAAGAGGAGGAGGATTGTAACTCATATGATGGCAGTTTCATTGATGACCAGATAAATTCTCCTGCAGTGGACACTCAAGCTAACTCTTGTAGAATGGACATGATGGCAATTTACAGGTTCTTTCTTTGGATCTAGTGAAATATATTGCATTCAAGCTCACAACCCTTTTTATTCTAATAGTTCAGGGATTATTTATTCGTTTATCATTTGATCAGTTTATTTAGTTTCTATTTTGTTCCCAAGTACTTATTGGTTAGGACTCTTATTGTCAGCAACTAGTTACTACTCCTATTTGGTAAGACTGATAAAGAATTAAATTTGTTCATTTTCTTTAATCTCCGTGGTTCTCTCCCGCTTTCTCTCTGGTGGCAACTTAGGCCCATAAGCGAAGTACATCTCTACCTTACATTTTGAATAGTTGCTTATTTACTTCTAGGCTTGTTACCAATGATAAGTTTCTTTCTAGTGTGTTTTCCGACAACTGCATTTACATTAATTCTTATCCAACCAATAAATTTGTTCTTTCATAACAGGCGTTCTTTACTTACTCAATCCCCAATGGAGCTATTGCCAAAAGCGTGCAGTTATCTCAGTCCAGATTCTTTGGCTACAAGAAGTGTGAAAGCAGTAACTACAAGCTCTTCAGGAACAATGGATCACCGAACACCCCAAACAGGCTTAGAGTCAACAACTAGAAAGTCAGAAGTCGTGCCTTATGGAACAACATCTGCATGTCCTTTAGGAGAGAATGGGAGCAAGACGGGGAGTCAAAAACGCAAATTTAGTTCTTGTGAAACTAGTCCACTACCCGCACGGGATTTGGCAAGTGATTTCTTGCAGCAGAATGGAGCAGGGGGGAGCCACTCTCCCTTGCCGGTACAAGAACATAACAAAATTGAAAATGGGAACTTGCTGGATGATGATGAGTTTTTTCAAGGTATTGATCTTGATGTGATCGAAGAAGAAGCCGCTAGAATGCTTCGGCATAAACCACAAAGCGTCTCAGTTCACAATCAACCCATTTCAATTCCAGTTCCTCAAAACGTTGGTATTAGCGATTCTCCTTCATTTGATCTTGGTTTTTAATTTTTGGACTAGATTTAACAGTAGAGTAGCAGTGTCTATACACCTCTTGTACATAACTTATACCTTGTATGTGGCTTATCCTTATTCATTAATGGATAAAATCCACAGAATATGCATTTTCATGTAACATTAACGCAACTTCACTTGTAAAGAAATGAAAATTTTGGCTGTTTAGCAACTTCACAGCATACTCCTAAAAATCATCTAAGATTACAAAATAATCACTGGTGCTTCTAGAATTTTTATAATTTAATAGTGATGAAGTATTTAAATTCTGGAAGCACCAATGACCATCTTCTAATTATATTCATGTAAAATTTCAAGTTTTCTTCGAGCATCAATTTCTCCTTATATTGCTGCTGTGTCTGCCTTCTACACTATGAAAGCCAAGCCTTTTTTTTTGTTTTTGTTTTTTACAAGAGGGAATTGAACCTGATATTCGAGTAACGTTTCAAATGAATCAAATTAAATACCCAAGTATCTGAATTCATCTTTTTTTTAAATACGAATTTGAATCTGATTATGAAACGAATGCTTAATTTGATACTCCTATTTGAATAGTTATTGGACCTTAAATGTCTATTCAAAGTTATAACATAAATGGACCATGGTTGGTTATAAATTCTTTAAATTATGCTATTTCTTATACTGTACTATCTAATTAAAATTATTATGCACTTGCATCATATAAATATTACTCCGTATGTTCTACAAAATATAATTATTGAAAAACATACTCCGTATATTTAAATTTTTATGCCACCTCTGCCATTAAGTATTTTTTCAATTTTGACTTTTTTAATTAAAAGTGATAGATTTTACCAATAGTTGAATAAAAATTATAATAGATATTGATACAAAAATAATTTTATTATATTTATCTTATTAAGTATTTTTAAAATATTGTTTAAACATAATAATATACCATGTATATTTTATTTGATTATATGTCAAAAGTTGATTTTGGTTGATTGAAAAAAAAGTTAATACTAGCTAGAGGTGGCAATCGGATCAACCGGATTGGTTTTTAGTTGGATTTTTTCGGTTCGGATATCTTTCGGTTATATGTTATAATCGATTTGGTTTGGTTCAGATCGGTTAAATTTTGGTTCGAATTTAATTTCGGTTCTATACATTTTTCGGTTCGGTTCGGTTCGGATTCGAGTCGCTTCAGATACGGTTCAGTTATAAATCGGTTCGGATAAATTTCGGTTCGGATACAATTTGAGTTGGATATATTTCGGTTTCGGGTCTAGTTCGGTTCGGATATATTTCGGTTTCGGATCAAATATATTTTGGATATATATTATTTTCTAATTAAAATTTAACTATTTGTGTTTATTTTTATGTTTTATCACATTTATCAATCTATCATCAATTCAATACCTCATATTATTTTATATTTTTTTCTAGTTATATTATCTCTACCCTAAATAATCTTCCCTTTTTGACTTTTTAGTCATATTTTACAAATTTGGACTATAAATTATGAAAACATATATATTTAATTATGATATAAATTTAATATAATTAAATTGATTTTAAAATTTAGTTTTGAAATATCAAATTTTTCTCACATCTACTACTCCGTAATATACTTATGTACATAAAAGAAAGGATAAAAGATAAATTCAAATAGTCTTATGTTCCATTTGAATACAATGTGGTAAAAATTGAGTAAAATTGGGTGAAATTAAGTGAATTTTATTCAATTGAGTGCAAAATTTGTACATTATTGAGTATATTTGGTTGAAAATAGAGAAAATTAAATTTAATAGAGTCAAATATAATTAATTTTACACCTAAATGTAATGGTGTAAATCAAATTTGAAAATGATAATAGCAAAAGCTGACGCTAGAGAGTCTTTTCAAAATGCTAACACTAGCATCTAATTTTATTGACTAATATTGAGTGAATTGGTTTGAAACTAATCAAATTAACTCTCAAATCAATAAAATTTATTGTAATGAGATGAAATTAGGATAAAATCTAGTTATTCCATACAATTCATCATATATATTCCTTTCGTCCCAAAAAGAATATCACACTTCACTATTTAAAAATTATGGAAATTTTATTTGTTTGTGCGTTATCATTTATATGTATAACTTATCTTTAATGTCTATATATAACAAATTTAAGGCATAAAATTTTGTACTTTTTTTCAAGAAGATAATCAATTTTATGAGGGAATGAACAAGTAATGTAATTAGTTCAAATGGTAAAATAAAAGTAAAAATTTAAAAATATAATATGCTCATTGAAAGGCAAACATAGTTCTGAATTTATCGATTTTAGTTCTAATCGGGTTCGGATATTATCGGTTTCAGATCTATTCGGTTTCGGATTTTATCGGGTTTGGATCTATTCGGTTTCGAGTTTAATCGGTTCGGATATTATCGGTTTCGGATCTAATCGGTTTCAGATTTAAATTGGATATGAATTATTTAGTTCGGTTTTGGTTCAATTCGGATCATTTCGGGTTTTCGGTTATAGATCGGATCTTCATTTTTCGGGTCATTCCGGTTTTGGTTTCGGATATTTCGGTTCGGGTAATCGGTTCCGGTTTTGTTTTGCCAGGTCTAATACTAGCTAGGGATGGTGGTAGTATTACATTTTCTTGATAAAATTTCACTTTCTATCTTATTTTAACCTGCATATTGTTATTTTAATACTTGATAGAAATTATTTCCTAATAATTTACATAAAAATTAGGGTCATCTGGATAACAAGACTGTAAATTAGTTGTAAAAAATGTATAGCGTACCTTTGCAATTTATAGGTAATTTCACTTGCCATCTAAACTTGATTGAGAATCCTTGTGGAACTCATCTACATTTTAAAACATTTTGTGTTTTTTAAATCTTAGTAGAATGCAACAAATTCGGTGTGGTGAGCTCAGAAAACCTCACCCACCCAACAGATTAAAGAGAATAAAGAATATACATATAGGAAGGAGGAGTGGGGGGGTCCACAAAAGAGCCGGGAAACAAAATCAGGCATTATTACATCAAGACGGAAAATCCCAAAAATTTAACCTATTCCAACTCTCAAGCCTCTCACCGGCCAGAGTTCCGGCAACCATCTTCTAGCCAGCCTCAACCACCTTTGTTATTATAGAAGAGTTTCATACCACGGGAGGCGATGTCTTGGCCAAAAACCATCCATGTAATATCATATTTTTCGGATCCTAATCTTGTACTAGGTTTTCAATATCTAACATAAATTTTTTGGTTGAACAGCTGTAGGCGTTGAACTTTACTTGATTGAGAGTCCTCCAAATAAACCAGGAGATAATGTGAAGAAAGTTGTCTTAAACAACCTTTAACATTGCGCGTGAAACCGTGGTTGATGATGACAACCACCAATAAATGCCAATGCAACCATTTCTAAGACTCTAAGGGCATCCCAATGCAATGAGTCTTGAAACTCTTTTAGACTCCCCTGCCATGTCAGTCTGACTCTTCTTCACACTTTTTTTTGGAAAACTACCCCAATATTCAAACTCTTTTAAACTCTACCACATCAACATGATCTTTTATTTTTTTTAAATTTTATTTTTAATTAACCAGTTATCCGATATACAACTATATTATACATTAAATTTTCTACCAATTTGTTTATAAATATAATTAATCATTAAAAAATAAAAAAAAAACATAAAATTAGAGAAATTTATATAAAATTAACACACATTAAATACATAAAATAGAATGAGTGCATTTAATTAAATTCATTTAAGTAAACACACGTAAAATTTAAATCGCATAGAATAAAATTAAAAGCACAAAAATCTAGAATTACACAAGTAGACATATTTAAAATGCATAATCTCTCCGTTTTGGTTTATCCTTAAGACAATGCCCAACATAAAAATATTTAAATATAAAGTTGCTAATGGAATGGAAAACATAGAAAATTTAAATATAAAATTGCATAAGATAAAAAACACATAAAACAAAAATAAAAGCACATCAAAATAAAATTATATGAGTAGATATAATTGACAATTATTATTTTTTCAATTGGGGTTGATTGGTTTTTTTATTACAAAATAAATGAAAGTACTTTTCTTTAAAATATAATTGTTATTGATTACACGCGTCTGATTTTTGTTGGATATATTGACTTGAGAGACTTGAAAGTGAGTCTGGGAATTCAAAGACTTCCTGCGCGACTTTCTTCATTTTCTGTGCACCTCAATAGTAAAGTATGGAGAAAGAGTCTTAAGCTTTCCCTCTGACTCTCTCCGGACACTCATTGAGGATGCCCTAAGACCTAAAAAGTCAGAGTAAAGGGGGTTATTGTAGGAAAGTATAAAAAGGTATGATCAATCCCCTCAAAAGGCAGATTAAATCCCATTTTTCATAAATATGCCGGAAATCCCGAGGAGTTATTGAATAACTTCCACATAGAGATTTGTAGTTTTCTCATCATGATGTTGTTCCAAATATATTTTGCAAATACGGAGCATCTAACAAGCCTCACCACCCCTAACAACCGAAAAGCCCTTTTAAAAAGAACTTGGGATAGTCACCTTCCACTGAATTGAAGTTCTCTTCACTATAATACATTGCTAGTTCATTAATTATGGATACCCTTTTTTTATTATTATAGAATATGGTAATATTATTTCTCAAAAAATAACTGAGGGATACAAAGAGTATATATTATAGAAATTATCAGCAAAATCAGGAATCTAAGAATAGAGACTCACTAAAATACTAATTTTACCACAATTAGACTGAAAAATATATATTGTCTAACATCTCCTTCAAGCTGAACAACATATCACGAGTGGAAGCTTGGAGACAAGAGTCAAAAACGAGTTGACAGGAGAGCTTAAGTCAGTAGATTTTCAAGTTGATCTTAAGAGAAAACATGAGTGACATTATATTCCCATCAATAACTTGTTCTCGAATAAAGCAACAATGAGTACCTATACATGTCATTGGCCCAATCATAACCAGAGTATGATCTCAGCTGCAAATCACTATACTAGTGATGGACAATAAATCCACCAAATGATCCGATTTACAGAGCGGATCGCAAGAACAAAATTAAGAACAAGAATTCGAGAATTGGATGTGTATTACTAGCTTGATTTAGCTTCAGTTCTCCCCTTTCGGGTCCCTTCTATTTATACACGAGCTCTCAACAATTAAGGTGAAG